AACCTGACACTGGAGAAAAAGTGAAAAAGTATCTGTTCATAGTCTAAGCTCTATCACATCCAGTGTCTACTTAACAGAAGATATACTGCCTATTATGAGAATGGGATTTCAAATTCTAACCTTGTCAAGCTTGTCTCTACAGCATTTGACACTAATGCTGGTCCTTCAGACACATTCAAGAAACATTTTTTCAAGTACCAGCAGGGAATTATCAAGATCGAGACAGCAAAAATTCCCAAATTGAATAAAACATTTCCCTATTCCTTACAATTAACAAAAGTAAAAACAGTAAAAAAAAATTCAATCATAAATTTGTTGCCAAATTTGCCTGCCAATTGCACTCTCAGAACAATCAGCAACCCGAACAATCCTGGAATACTGTTTGCTTTCTGTATTAATTATCACACCTAATTCCTTGGACAGGACCACTGGAGGACCGCCATTGCTCCAGATGTAGGCCATCAGAATGGAGCAATGCAGTAAGTACAACTGTCAAAATACTGGGAAATGTTACATACATCAGTGACATGACCTACACAACACTTCTTTCATCCCAGACAAGAAATGACAATGTAGCATGATCAAGGCTTCAATACAAGCCTCACTACAGCTTGTACAGGTGATCTGTGCTGACCGGCAAAGCAATTAACACAAATGTATTATCATACTGTCATCAGGGTAGTTACTTCAAGCCCTCTGGGCCAAGGACGGTTATTTCACAGTCGACTGCCATGTGCCTGCAGACAGACACATGATGGAATGCATGTTAGCTATTGATCTGAAGACATTCCAGACTCCCCCCTTTGCCCACTCCAATGTCATGGACCATCTATGATTCCAGCACCAAACCCGGCTCCTGCCATTGTATTAACATTGACTCCGTATATCTCTCGCTACCCCCCACACACAATGGATGTTCTATAAAACTGCCCCATCCCTGTTCTATTTGATATCTTAAAAGTTAGGATATTGAATTTTAAATCGTCCAATATCCAATGTTTCTGTTTTCTAACAGAGAAATACATGTGATACCAGACATCCACCCAGGATGGGGGAATAAATTTGACAAAGTCATTATGTCCGTTTCACCGTTGGTGGAGTTTTCCAGGATTGGAACTAAATCAATGACATAAGCTGAGTCAATTATACAGTGTTAAACTTCACTTTACACTAAGGCCAGAACAATGCATTCAGTATCCCTCATTTTGGTGGTGGTAACCTTCTGACCATAAACCTGTTACCTTATTCAGATACAGCCTTGAATCAATCTCATTTAAAGGCAGATTGATCCTCCATTATAGAGGCCATATCCTCAGGGGAAAAAGACTTGAAGAAGTATCACTTTATCATCGCCTCACCAATTATTGTAACCATTCCCACAAAAGAAAAATATATATGCAAATATACAGTTATTACTACTTATCTCAGTGACTTTAAATACCCCCAAACTAAAGCATCAGTGTCAATGTTGACCACATCCAACTTACACACTTTCTCATGTCACAAGGTATTGCAAGCTAATCTACAGCTCACATAATGGATGTTTAATTAGGCCTCAATGGGTTCTGTACACTGTGATAAGCAGCTGCAACAGACTTGTGTTAATCTCCCAGCTGATAAGCTAAGGGTGTGAAGTACACAATGCTAATTAAGGTCACTGCCTTCAGGCGAAAGGTGTTATCTGGAAATATCTTCTAGTCCGAAAGCTGTGTTATATTCAGTAGCCAAGTGCTGTGAAGCCACACAGGAATAAACCACTCAAATAAACATACCTAACAATACAGGCAAGTTATGACCATCATAAATGAATAATTTCCTGCAATAAAACAATAAGAAATACATAAATGAATAATTCCCAACCACTCGAGTTTTAAGGATGACACTTGCCCGTCTACAAGGGCCTCCAGGTTACGACAAGGATCTGTTGAGTCGCATGCTAAATTTGAAACACTGTACACAAGGAAAAGAAATTAGAAAACTACATAAAAGCATCATGTCTCAACAAGTCAAATATTAATATTCTAAATATGCCAATGCAAATATCACTGGTGAACGAGACATGGCATGACATAACATACACTTCACCAGTGACCAAACATATGGGCTATCTAAATTAGCATTCCAACAAAACATGCCCGGCATAATTGATTGCTTCATCTTCCAACCACGAACAAGCAACTGCACTGATTATTCAACGAGACGCATTGATTGCACTGAAATTATTTAAACGTCTCAGCAAAGAGAGAGACAGATTACCTGCTCATTGACTCTGCTTCCAAGGACCACAGTATATATACTTAATGAATTATGAAGGTTTCCACACCATATTAACATGGGACAAATATAGCCCATACTGACACTAATTATTACCTTAGATTACAATGTGGTACTACAACAATATACAATTAGCTCTACAACAATATGCAATTAGCACTACAACAATATGCAATTAGCACTACAACAATATACAATTAGTACTTCAACAATATACAATTACATGTAAACTGAACATTATTTCAAACTATAGAATATATGAGAAAGATGTCGAAAATAAATGAGAGAAGGTTGTAGAATCAAAGTGAACACTTGAGAATATCTAACAAGACTAGAAAACTTGTACTGCATGAGGTTACAACATATATTTTGGAGTCCCACTACACCAGACCGATATACTGTGTGCATAAGTGTCTCTGTCACCCCCTACACTGGATGTGTCAATGTGAGAACACGGAACATTCCCAGGCCTGGCAATCCATGAGGAGTTCAATATCAGGACTACCAGTTACAGGCAGAGGATAATTCAAACTATCACATGAATTTGAACTTTAAAACCAGAGTCTCAAGTTACAGACAATGTTTACTTCAATATCATCTGAAACAAAAGTGTTTAGTTTAAGGAACATGAGACATCAATTAAAAAAACCTCAAAAAGACGATGAAGTATTTGAACAACTAACAAACTTCAAAGTTGTAATCGCAAATCAATGCAACTGTTTGATGTCCCAGAACTTGAAAAGAAGCACACCCTTTACATCTGCTAACAACAGGTAGGATTCATGATAAGTTAACACCCATCCTTGTCGTCGCATAAACAGGTTCTGTGAAGACTGCACAAAACATAACTCTGTGCACACAATTGTCTGGGTGGAAAGTAACCTGACGATGCAGGCTTGAAATACTGTCCGACATAATGAGCCCAAGGAAGGGTGTGAACCAATTGAACACATCAAATGGATAATCAGAGCATTTTGCCCTACTTCTGAGATATAAACATGATATGACCACAATACATTCATTATTACATTTTTTTAATCTCTATTTTGAAAATGTTGGTAAGGAGGCAAATTAATTTTTAATATTACTGTGTGTGAACCTTTGTCAGTTGATGAAATACTCCATATCCTACCTACTAAACATCCTTGCTTTGTATGAATCACATCATGACAGTAAATGTACACAGATGCCCGGAATAATGTTGAAAGAACAAACATTCTTACTGTAGACTGTGATATTGCAAGCGACAAATGTCATTAGGACATTTAAATGATTACTAACTTTTGATACCATTACCACTGATTACCAATTTTGAATAAAATCTTGGGAATATATTCAGTCAATGTCCTTGAAAACAAACAGATCTGAAATCTGAAATCCTGTCACCACACTTGGGAAAATGATGTAAGACTGGGTGTTGGTAGTGAAGCGATCTAAGTGCGAGGCGAAAACTGAAAAAGTTATTTGTCGTGGCCTGACAGAATATGTCCTTACAGCTCTGTGTCTTGCAAGTCATAGCAACTTTCCCAGTGGTTGTTTATGTATGAAACAACCCCAATCCTCATTATGGAAATGAAGCAGGCAGATAAGCAAAAAGCATGTTGACACTGACATGATTGGGCACACACCCAGCCTAGGCACTTTAAGTGATTAGAAGAACTAGGAAACCAAAACAGACTCACAAACTCATATACTGGGAAGCCAGTGCTTCCTTCAAAACTAATGTTCACCACAACATTAATAGTTCTGATACTTCACTTGTAGAAAGGGAAATACCCCAATTTTCTCAGAAGTAACCCACTTGATAACAACATATGTCAAAAAGATAATAATAGTAATATCTGTATTTCATTGTGTATATCAATGTTTAAAACTTTCTGTTATAATTAGTCATGTTCATGCTCTGTGCCCTGCCCCCTGTGGGTGTTTATGCAGCAGTAGAAACTAACAGTTTCAGTCCACTAATCCTTATAATGATAACACATAGCAAAAACTCTAAAAATGGCAAATTTCTACATGTCCTTATGATACCTTAACTATTGGGCAGTTTGGCAAGGACTGCAGGACAAGTGCCAATTTCTAACACTGTTTATGTACAATAAATCTTCTTCTTCAATCCCATCTTTATAAAATTGGAAAACACTGCTTCAGAAAATCATGTCTGATTCTCTCCAATACCATATTCCTTGAAGGATATTCCCCATCCCTGAACTGTTTCTGAGGAATTGTTGCAATACAGCTTGAACAGTGAACGTGGATGACTTGCTCATCAGCAATCATAACAAAGCAAGAAGTAGTTGAATATAATACATACTTTCACCACTAGTTAAAACTTGAAACTACAAAGAAAGGGGTTGGACTGACAATAAACAAGGGTCTATACTGTGATGCCTGTGTATTGCTATACAGTGACTGTTGCATTCAGTTTAACACAACATATGTTCGTCATTTACTACTCATTTTACAAAAATGACGACAAAATGATTTTATGATGTCCCTTTGGTCTTATAAGGTAAATCCATTTTTGATATTCATAAACCTGTACAAACATATCTGGCACACATTAATAAGTAAATCCACTTTATGAAACGTAGCAAATGAGAACTTCACTTTTAAAGTTTTTAACTGTTTACTGTGACAAAAATCACCAATTACAGAAAATAATACAAACTACAAAGTTTAAAACAAACAAGGAGACAGGTAATATAAAAAACATAAAATTTTACCTCATAGGCCCAGGTACATTGTATTCCAGCATACTTTCTCACACATCTTCCGATTTCAACATCTTCATGAGTGGTATACAAATTCTGAAGACAGTTGCTTACATAGGGTGCCATCCGACGGAGTGTTTCACGACTAAATATCATGCCAGGCCCTCCCATACAGAAATTTTCTGTTGCAGTCAAACTGAGTAGACCCAATTCTTCTGGTTTTCCAACACCTGCTTGGCCAATGAATTGAGGTTTGGAGCTATTAATTGATCGAAGAAATTTATCAAGTTTGTCTCCCTTGACAAAGACGTCGTCATCGGCCCTGACAAACCATTCGTATTGATCAAGAAAATGATCGTGCATATATTTTAACATCATGAAGGATTTCTTTTGGGGTGGATAAGAATCATCAACATTTGGTAAAGCCACAACAGGTACTCCATGTTTGGATATGGAACCTTCACTTGAGAAGAATCGCACCTCTCCATTGATCGTGTTAACCCAAGTTCGATGAGCCGCTAGCCCTCTTGAATCAATAAATTTTTTGGCTGTCATGATTCCAACAAAAACAAAATTATTTGTGGGTTTTTGATTTTGTTGCCCGTCAGATGATGTTTTGGCCATATTTTCATCTGGGGCATTGCTGGCCGCAATCTCTTCACGCCAAATATCTGGTAATCCACATCCTGTGGAAACTTTATTTTTGTAATAATTTTCAAGAAGTATACCCCCAAGGAACCCCAAGAGCAAACAAGTGGCATAGGTCTTAACTCCATTACGCTTCTTTGCCATAGTAGTTCCCAGTTCGCCATGCATCTGTCAAGATGTATAAATCAAGAGAAATAATACCACAGAAACAATATTGGAATTCAAGTTAACGCGTGTTCAGTCCGACATGTAATGATATATGATTACGCAACCACTTGATTCTCTCTCTTACGGAACACGTGTCTCCCACAGACATGATCAAGTTCTATTGACACTAAATAAATCCAGTCGTATATCCGTTACTGACACTATTCGTTCACATTTCAACTGACACGACACGCGGCACATGAAAAACACAAAGCGACTGGCTCGTAGTCTAACTTCTAAGATTCCATTCAGAAAACATCACCAAGTTCGAAAACTTTTTGGATGAGCCGAGGTACAACATCGACATATATCAGCTCATGTTTTCGCGTTCCTCATCTCTTTCTGAAACTTTCAGGCGTCCCATGGTCGCTGATTATACGGTCACGTGTAATCCAAGAACTTTCAGCAACTTTCTGTAACTTTTCGACGTGTCGATATGGCAGGAGGGGGCAAAACAACCACTCCCCGATTCCCTCCCAAATCACGAAAGTGTACGGCCGAGCACGCGAGTGCAACACGTCAAAACTCTTATCAAGTCATCCTGCCCTAGCACTGGCCAGTCCACCCGATTGAGAAGCCAGAGGGGTGTTTGCTGCTTTACAACCAACCGACGTCAACTGAGGGCATGCCGATGGGATCCCACCCGTCATTGTCAACAGCTAATAATAAACCACTTTGTACGCTTCAATGACTCGCTGCTGCCGCCACTGTCACGACCGACCCACTTTGCCTTCGGCTCTCTCCGTATATGAACGGAGGATGCCGATTTGATATATACTATAATCCGCACACCTATTTATCTAGTATATTTTCGAAAAGTACTCTACCGAAAATGGGATATTTAAATGGCTACATGGGATTCTCAAATAAATTCATTATTTTTTTCTTATGTATTGCTGTAGAAAACTGCTTTTTAGGGTTTTGAGTTTGAGAAATCCATTACGTATCACCAACGCATGATCAGTTGATATGCACCATCAAAAGGTTTGGATGCCTCAGACTTTGAAAATGTTGATTCCTTCTCTTCTTGTTGAACATGGAAGGGACATACGTCAAAAATAAAAATTCATTGTAACAAGGAGCAAATGAAGAAGATTTACTTTCCGTGAAGAAATGTTGCATTCTTCTTTTCAAATTCCTGAATTATGGATTCACCAGGTTAAACTTCGTGGGTTTACAAACAAACACAGTCAACGTCGTCACCGTTTTGTATTCAATCTAAGGTTATACAGTATTTCCCATTTCATTTCAATCAAATCATTTAAAAATAATTTTGCGTGAAAATAATCAACTTTACGTGTACGTCTTTTATCTTTTCCTATCTGCCAAACCAAGTTTCATGAAAGACAAACAATGAACAATTGAAATATTACAATATGGCATACCCTCTCCAAAATAAAAACAAGTTGACATGTGTAGGCAATGCATCGAAAACCTATGAAAATTAAGCATGTTCACATGTGATTTCATTCTGCATAATTGTGTGGATTATTAGATTAGTTTAATTGAAGATCAGTATAATAGCAAATCACGTGCGTCAGGTATAATACGTGCCACTTGTATATGCACAAAATGGACATATCATAACTGACCAGGGGGGATTCGAACCCAAACCAGTGCCACTGGCTCCTTGCAAATTAGAGTGATGATACACTGGATAATCGAGGGTGAGAGACACATCACTTCACATATATTCATCTTCTATTGATATTTTATTCATGTGTGTGTGGTTTTTCAATGGTGGGGATGGGGTGAACCCAATTATAAACCAGTGCAGTACGTACATCATGAGTCATCCAAAATACACAAGTGAGTGAGTATGTTATTACTCCGCGTTTGAGCAATATTCCACCAATACCACAGCGGGGACACCAGATATGGGCTTCGCACATTGTACCCAGGTAGGGAATCGTACCCGGGTCTTCGGCGTGACGAGCGAACACTTAAACCATTAGGCTACCCCACCTCCCCTCAAAATGCATAAACACATAGGTGAGGTGAAATGAGGATTCACGTCGCGTCCACGATTATGGCACTTATACACCGATGTACATGCACGTGTGTGTGTGTGTGTGTGTGTGTGTGTGTGTGTGTGTGTGTGTGTGTGTGTGACCAGGGATCGATCCCAGGACTTTCCGCTCTTCGGGCGGCCGCTCTCCCACATATAGGGGACCAAGGGACAGACATAGAGTATCTAAGGCCTCTGGGACTGAACCAACAAGTATATGTATATGGACAAGTAACTGAACAAACAAAGTGAAAACGTTTTTTTCAACAATAAAGATACTGTCCTCAAAGGATATCATTATACATCACAACAAATAGGTTATTTCGAAAAATAAAAAAATTAGCTTTCCTTCGCTGCTCAGTTGAAGGATAAACATGTCTCTAAACAAAAGCTACGGAAATGTAAAATACGGCTACAAGGACAAGCCAGTTGCGCCAGACCGCCCTTCAGATGACCACGGATTTCAGAATGCATTTCAAATGATGTGAACCTTTACGAGAACATGGTTTGCTTTGTAGTGTCAAACATTCATAGGTTTTGTTGCGTGACATAGCAATCAGGAAAAAGCGTTTCTTTTTCATTGTCTGCCGACTCCTTTGAACTGTGTGTCAAATTAGATTTTACAGACGCATCAAACTAATGTTCTCACCCTTAGATTTAATTACCAAGTGGTTTTTTTTAACTATATATAACCGGTCAAATGTAATGTCAATAAGAATTTTGAAATGCCAGTATGTAACATTTAATAATGAAATTGAACACGTGATCCCCCTGCCGGGCTTTCATATACACGAAAATGTAAACCGGTCACTTGACACAGTTTATTTGAGAAACAAAATCAACTTCAGTCCTATTTGCTTAGATAATGATAAGTTAGCAAAAATGCTGTATTTTATCGTATTTAATTGTGCTGTTGTTGCCGTTTTGTCCGTCAGCAACAGTGAATCCTAATTACTTAATACCAGTTGTTAGGGGTCTGTTCATCTGATAAACTGGGCTCCGACTCTTTGTAAATGCCATACAATGCCTTGCAAAGCTGAAATGTATGGATATAAATGTCGCAAATGTCATAGCGCAAAGGGAACTGGTAACCAGATTACACCAATCGCCTGCCGGCACCTGCTGAAAGACCCGATTTTCCATACAGTTCGTTAACCTATATAGTTTTAACAAACGTATATTCGAGTTTCCACGTTGAAAGTTAATAACAGTTGTATGCATTCTGTTTTTGCCCGAATGGCTCTTTTAGAAACAAAATGACGTATTTTTACAGTTTTGGAATATTATTCTTGTGAGAAATTATTTCATGTGATATATCGTGCTTCCGTTGGTTGGAACATGGCGGATGGCTACTTGGGAATGCCGTCGTGAATATCGGAATTGTTGTTCAGATTTTGTTTAAAGTCTCAAGTTGCTAATAGTGACAATACCTGTGTTTCAAAGACAATACGTGCATGTGCTTTGACCTGATCAACTGCATTAATTTCCTGGCGTTTCATAACTGGAAAATATGGTAATAATCTTCATGTGACCGGGCAAATAGAATCAAACATGGCGTCTGCCTTGAACGAGGAAAGCGTACAGAAGAAATTGCAGAGTGTTACAAACGCCCAAGACAGCATACAAAGCCTGTCTCTCTGGATCATACACCACAAGACACACCACAAAGAAATTGTGCGTTTGTGGTTGAACGTATTTAAAAAAGGTAATCATTGTATGCTACCTGCAGTATTTCACGTCAAATGAGGACAGTGTCATGTGTGCATGTTTTTGTGACAAAATATATAAATATATATTTACGGCGAATTGTATATGGTATTTTTCATCATGCATTGGACATTGATCGCAAGGAACAACTTAAATTGTAAAAATTACATGTCAATTTCATCAGATTAGGACACAACAGGGATGGGTACCATAAACAACTTTGGATACACATGATACAGTTGTCACATGTGCACCTAAGAAATGATCTTGCAGTGTTTGATAGGAAGTTTCCCTGTACACTTCCCTTCAGTGTCCATGGTACTACATGGGATGTTATTAGTACTAATCAGGTTGGAAATAACCACAGATCTTGCATGTTACAGGTCAGTCTACAAAGTGTAATACCTCGTATTGCTCATTCGTTGATACCCGATCAGCATTTGATGTCATGATTTCAATAGAAATCAATCATGAGATCTGGAAATTGTCTCCAAAATACTAAGTTGTGTTGTACCCTTATGTGTAAGTGATATGGTTTGTATTTTAGATGACTGATTTGTTAAAATATTTGTTAGGCATCACGATACATAGATCACGATACAATGCATATCGCAATACGCATATTTACGTCAAATCGTGTGGAAACTTCTTGACTATAAATATTTCAGAGCAGGTTCAAAAGGTAAAGCAATCTGTAGATACATGTTCATAGCGGCTATTTTTCGTAGTGAACTTAGGAGCAGCTTTAGCATACAGTACTACAAATTCTCATGGGGATGATCTCTGCTGTAGATCACATGTCTCAAAGACAAGCAACCATTTTTTGTGAAAATCCGTCGGACACGATCTCGTGACTTTTGGATTATTAGCCTGACAGGTACTGAGCTATGTCCACACTGTAAAAGTAAGTGCAAATTTAACTAGTCATGCCTACGCCATTTTAGAACTGAATGAAAAGGGTTGAATAGGTGACGGACACCTACAAAAGTTACGGGTAGGCATGGTGTTGTGACTTTAGAGTTCAGGGTAACATATCCTAACACCAGCGACATTTGGATGTGTTCAGCACAGATATAATAAACCTAATAAACTGCATTCCTGTATGTTAGTTCCCATTAATAATCATTTTTGCCGCTTGAATTACGTCAGAAACGAAATAAAAAATCTGTTGAAAATAAAAGTGCTTTCATAAACTAGCGCTTGCTATGAAATGTGCTTGCTGCAGGCTATATGTAGTAAACAAATATTAAAAACTCTCAACATCGCTGGGCTTAGCCTTATTCAATGACTTTGCGTGTAGAGTTGATAGATCACTGGGAGGAGCTTATGCACACTCAATTCTCAATACTTCAGTGAACTGTTACAGCCTTCCTTTGTACTTGCCCCGCGAAGATCCGGGCTAGGATAGGTCTTCAGCAACCCATGCTTGCCGTAAAAGGGTTGACTGTGCTTGTGTAAGAGGTGAATAACGGAATCGGGTGGTCAGGCTTGTTGACTTGGTTGATGCATGTCATTGTGTGGATCGGTGTTCATGATGTCAATCACTTGATTGTCTGGCCCAGACTTGATTATTTTCAGACTGCCATTATTTAGTGGGAATATTGCAGAGTGTGGCTTTAAACAAACAAACAAACAAACAAACTAACAAATTAACAAAAAACACACCTGGGCCCACTTGCACAAAGCGATCTTAGCGATAAGACTATTGTAAGCCTATGTTAAAGTATGGGAGTTACGATCATCTTAGCGCTAAGATCACTTTGTGCAAGTGGGTTCTGGACTGTTGTGGGTCATTTGTATCATTGATGTCATCCTTAATCATGTTAATGTTACCTGTTACTTTCAGCTAAAGCTGCCCATCGCCTGACTCTGTTTTACTTGTGCAATGATGTTGTACAAAACTGTAAGAGGAAGAATGCCATTGTGTATCGGGAGAGCTTCAAGGATGTCATCAGAGCAGCTGCTATATTTGCTAGGTAAGTTCAGCAAAGAACTGGGCACTAGTCCTGTAGTCCTTGCCAAACTGCCCCAATGGTTAAGGACTCATAAGGACTGGTACAAAATTGCCATATTTGAAGGGATTTGCTATATATTATCAATATAAGGACTAGAGGACTAAAAATATTAGTGTGTATTGCTGGAAGTTCATTATGTTTGCTGTTAAACCTGTTCCAAGTCATCAGAAATGTTTTTGTGGATGGGTGAGGCATCATCATGATAATTCATTGTCCTAGAAGTTCAGCTACATTCCTTCTCATGTCAGACCCTGTTGCTGTATGTACCTACTTTTGAAAAGGCACGTCAACATGGTCAACGTCAGTCAAACAAATGTAAATGAAAGTTCTTTAATCACAGATCTACCATTTAGAAAACCCTCTGCTTGAAGATCTTACAATAGAATGTCATGTCTGTGAACACTGAGCACATTTTGACTGCCCAATCTAAATGAAGGATGCATAGGCATTATACTAAAAGTGTCATTTCCGGAGCACAACTTGAAAACTGTGAAAGACTTTTCATCCAAACCTTGTACATATATTAACCAAGGACTGAAGTGGTGCCTTTTGCTATTTAGGAGTTTTTCAAAATTTGTTTTTTCCCTTCCTCCATGGCAACAAGTTTGACTTTGGATCATGTTCATAGAGGTGTGTTTGTCTGTACCATACCTCTAAAACTAATAGGTATTCATTCATGACACTTTGCACAAGACACTCGTCAAGCTGAAGACCCGGTTTTGTTTCCCGACATGGGTACAATGTGTGATGCCCATTTCTGGTGTCCCCCGCCGTGATATTACTGAAATATTGCTAAAAGCGGCATAAAACCATACTCACTCACACACTGAAATAAATGTAAACAATAGTATATTAAATTTTGAATGAAATTAAATAAACAGGTTGCAAACACAAGTCCTGATATACAAAGAACACTTTTTTTTACCAGAAAGTGTAATTACATAATTAATTTGCACTTTGGGGGGACACACATCACAGCTCGTTGTGTGTATAGTGTGCACACCCTTCTACACTTCTGTGTCTCTTTGAAAAAAGTGTGCTCAAAACTCAAGAAATATGGTAATTGATCTGATTTTGTTGAGTTTGAATACTCGCAATATTTTACTAAACTAGTGTGTTCTTGGCTCCTTAATTTGTCACTGACAATCAATGTCATGTCAGTTGACAATCAGTAATATTTCAACAGTGAATGGTGACAGGTGCTCAGAAGATCATGATCATGTGTTGTGTATGGGTTTTTATATTTCACTTTGTGGTTGAGTTTCTTTATCATCATAAATGTCAGCTTTAGCTGACCGATTTCAGTATTACAAGTCTTAACTTGCTACTACTGAAGCAGACTGGCTCTGTAGTCTAGTGGTAGAGTATCTGCCTGGAGGGAGGAAGTTCCGGGGTCCGATTCCCGGCCACAGCATACCAAAAGACGTTAAAAGGTGGTACTTGTTGTTACCCCGCCTGGTGCTCGGCATGAAGTGGCTAAAACAAGGACTGGTCGGCTCGGAGTCAGTATACTTTGTCTGAGTGGGGTATTCATGTTAAACTGCGGCATGGTATCTCAGTGGGTTAGCACTATCAACTTGCCATTAGCAGATTAGTCTGGACTAGTACAAGCAGCCACAAACACACACACATGCATACGTGTCGCTATGTAAGTACAATAATCTTAACATTAAACCTCATTTCACCTCACCTACTCCTGGAGCACCATGCATGAGACGTGGCAAAGATGACAGGCTGGACAATTTAAAAGCTTTTCACTGCTCACTTGCAGATTATCTAGCTGTGGGCTCTTAATTCCTTGTTGATTTAACATTATGTGACAGATGATAAAATTTCATCATACAGTGATCATATGATTTGATTGATGCCCCACTACCTGAGATGAGGAAAATTGAGTATGTTTTGTTTTCACTTGGATTACCTGTAAATACAGAAGGCTGAGAAGAAAACCAGCCAGTCCTCTGACCAATGAGCACTCAGATTGGATTACACGAGTGGGCATGTTGTCATGCAACAATTCTTAGACTAAGACTTAGACATTACTACACCACAAATCATCCCTGTGTATTTGTGGCTAATGGAGGAATGTAGTGTGTAAAAACCTGTGAAGTATTCTGTGAAGTGTCTATCCCTGGGTTTTGTAGTAATTCCTTTTTTTGTTCACAGAGATAAAATGATCAAGGGGAAGGTGGAGAGGATCTTCAACATCTGGAAGGAACGCAGTGTATTTGATGGGAAGTACATCTCTAGTCTACACAGCATCATGGGTGAGTAGACAGACGCCCACTATCTAACATATGAACAGAGTCAGGAGAGAGAAATCCAGTGTCTCATGAACATGGAACAGCATTCTGTGTAGGTGTCTGCAGCTGGTTGTGAATTCAAGGTTCGCCCAATTATGCTCCTTTGTCTGCATAGCCATATTTATGTTCATTAGTTGTACAGAAATAATAACAAACAGTGCCACTTTGACTTTCTTCCCACATAAAGACAACATGCCATAAAATAACTGACATGCCGTTCAAAGCAGTGGTTATATGCAACTCTTTTGTGAAAATGATTTCTCTTAATCCCGCCATACTGAAATAATTTCTCTGCATGTAAAAGGAATGCTTTGTTGAAGGATATATATAGATACATTACATATGATTGCAGGCACCGAGTCAGCATCCCATTCCTCAAAGCGCAAGACATCTTCCAAGCAAGCGTCACTTGCAGTTGCTGCAGCCTCAGTGACCCCAGCTGCCACTGTCTCCACGCCTCCTGTGGCACCTAAACCTGCCATCCCGCAGGTGGACCCCAAACTCATTGCTGATTTCAAGGTAGATACAGTTTCTTATATCATCTATTGTAAGCACTGACACTTAAGTCATTGCACTACCCATTGTAAGCCCCAACAAGTAAGTAATTGTGCTACAACTCTTGTGAACCGTTTTTTTCATACAAGAGTGTTTGAAATTAAGGGGGACTTATAGGTCTTTTGTTTATGAATCAAGGGACCACTACACCTACTTGTAACATTCAGGTTATAACATAGACCTCTTGACTTTCATGCCTTATTCAGGGTTAACATTGACCCACAAACCTAGGGCAGGTGGAGGAAAATCTCATACAGCCTGACAGAAAAATTACCAGCCACGGCAGGCAGTTATTTCGGACACTGGTGCAATATCATTTTCAACAATGCAAGGCATACTTCATTCTGTATTGATTCATCTTGTTGATGTCAATTTATTAATTTTAATTATCTCATTAGAAAGTCTTCAAACAGGTATACATATTGCTTGACATTTGGCTCCATAATTGCATCGGATTATGTATTGGTATTTGACTTATCGAAATCTCATTAAAATCAGACCTGAGTTCTCGCTATCGCTAAACAAAGATTTGAGGACATCCCATTACAGGTCACGTCAGAACGACCTTTCACAAACTTTGACCAACGACTGAAATGACAAACAAGAAGTCGACATCAGCCAATTAGAAAGCAGCTTTCTCGATCTTTATGGCAGTCGTTTCAACCTGGCGACTTCCATTTCAGACTACGTTTGAAAAATGTGTTGACACAGTTCTCGATTAAAATTTTGAAAACTGAACAAATGAACACTCCGGAATGTCTAATATATGGTTGAGATTGTATAGCAATGCTTCCCACATACTGTTCAACGTCTCCTCTGTTCAAATGTTTATCCCATTGAAGCGAGAGATAGACGATAATTTTGACGAATGAGTTGTACTGGTCGTAACTGTCGTTTGGAATACCCCATGTTGACGTTTTCAAGGTTGCATGATTAGGAAACACATTCCGACTGTCACTTTCATGATCTGGACCCTGATTTGTCGGATGAAAGGTCGTTCTGACGTGAACCGTAATGGGATGTCCTCAGATCTTTGTTTAGCGATAGCGAGAACTAGGATCTGATTTTAATGAGATTGTGACTTATCACTAGTTATAGTACACATGGTGGTTTCTTAATAATAACAGTTTGTAGTAGCAGAGTATATTGCCTATCTCCTTCCTATTACAAACAAAAAATTTACCAGCCTTTTAGGAATTTGGTACATCAGTAAATTTAATGCAGAACCTTTAAATAATTAACATTCTTCATTTCTTCAGGACAACTGAAAGATAACATGAATAGCTTCTGATTTGTTTCTGTATCCATAAGACTGCTTTATTATGTAAGATACAATGGGAAATTGATGCTGGTTGTGTTGTAGCCGTCAGTCCTCCTGGATAGGATGAGGACTTTCAACCTTCTGGAGCAGGAAGTTGTTCTCAGGCACAGACAGATGGCCCATCTCAAACTGGATGTGTCCAGCCAGGAGGCTGTTAAGCAGCTCAAAGGTAGGGGGGATTTCTAGGCATGTGCAATGCTTGAAGAGGGCACGGGTGGCCCAGTTGTCTAAGGTGCAGCATTTCACTGCATCCCTTGGGCACTTCAGAAACTTATGATTGTGGGTTTGAATCCCAGTTCGCCCCGATTATGTTTCTAGGTTTGTCAGCACCATACCAGAGCTTGTGTGTTTCACCATTGTGGTCAATATCTGAGACCTTCATCACTTGGGGATTTGGGGGCTGTTTTTCTATAAACATGTTTTCTGATTAGTGTAGACTAAATCATGTCTGCAGAAGCATGAGCAGGGTAAAATGTCAGTCGCATGTCCTTGGAACCAATGCTTACAAGTATTTGAAACAGTATTGAAAATATCATTTCATAATTAATCATAGGATGTGTTTCTGTGGAATCATAGCCTTGGTGTACAGCGATTTCCCCACAGGATACTTCAAAACATCAAAATTATATTATTTGATAGGAATCTGTAGATTCAAGTGTCTTCCTGCAGGTAGTAATATAAGAGCCCACCCGGCAAGGGAGGGGAGACATTGTTTTTGGCTCGGTTCCCATTGGCTTTGGCGATCCCATCCTATTCTGAGCCATGACTTGAAAAACATTCAATGTTTTTTCAACAATTTTGACTTAATCTCAAACAATTCTAGGTTTCGTTTCCGAGCCATAACTCTCAAACTGATGAATTATTTTGCATTGCCTTTTCATATGTTTCAATTTTTATATATATATTTTTAATTTCCTGTTTCCATGGAAACATTTTGACTTAATCTCAAACAAGTAGCATTTCTTTCCCCCAAAAATTCTACAGCATTTTTACATGAAACCATCCTCTTGTTTTTTTAATTTGCAAACGTGGGTATAGTAACAACTTGAACTAATGTATCCCCAAAAAGGAGGGGGAGACATATGTTTTATGATAAAAAACACATTCCAGTTTCTGATGGCTGACCTGCATGGTTGACATGTGTGATGTGTTTCAGACAAGACGCATGGGAAGGAGTTCTCCCATCAGTTCGAGGACTCGTGTGTGAAGCTGGAGGAGTACCTGGAGAAGCTGGACACACAGAATCTAAACAGGAAGGCCCTCCTGGAACTCATGGAGACAGCGCAACTCTTCTATGATGAGCAATACAGAGAGGCCAAGATTGTTGCCAATGTGAGCAATAGTCTCACAGAATCTGCTCTTGTCTTGTTTCTTGAGATTCTTTAAAATGTCTTTGTTTCAAACAATCTGAATATTGTATGGTACGAGGGGTGTTCATTAAAGATTTCCCCTAAACCACTTAGGGTTATCATATTTGGTTGAAATTTCACATGTGTAATGATACATATATCTATGGGTTGTGTCTGAATTTGCAGCACCGAACTATTAATCTTACCACTTTTACAGGTGTTATGATCGAGTAGGGTGTGACAATGGAGCCAGTAGAATACCGAGCAGTGATTAGGTTTTTATATTTGAAAGGTCGCACACCAAAAGAAACTTTCGATGAAATGAAAGCAACTTATGGGGAAGATGCCCCATCATATGACGTTGTTAAACACTGGCATCGCCAGTTCAAGTGTGGTCGGACATCTGTGGAAACAGCTGCCATTCCTGGTTGCCCCCATTCAGCCATTGATGAGGAAACTATCCATCAAGTGGAGACCGCCATTTTGGCAGACGGACGTATAACTGTTCGCCAGTTAGCACAAGATGTCAAGATCAGTGTAGGGTCTGTGGAAAAAATCATCCATGACAATTTGAACATGCATAAGCTGTCTGCACGATGGATTCCCAGGTTGCTCACACCTTTCCAAAAGCAGGAACGAGTCAAATGCTCAAAGGATCTTTTGGACATGTGCCAAAATAAACCAGGTAAACTTTTTTAAAAGACTTATCACACAGGATGAAACATGGGTCCATCACTATGATCCTGAGACTAAAGTTCAGTCGATGCAATGGAAGCATGTGGAGTCACCACCCCCAAAGAAGGCACGTGTCCAACCCTCTGCAGGCAAGGTCATGCTCACAGTGTTTTGGGATCAGCACGGAGTAGTGATGATGGATTTCTTGGCAAAGGGTACCACAATTACAGGAGCTTATTATGCTTCACTGCTGCGGAAATTGCGGGACGCTATCAAGCTTAAGAGGCGTGGCATGCTGACCAAGGGTGTCCGTCTCCTGCAAGACAATGCTCCAGTACACAACTCTCATGTTGCCCAGATAGAAGCACGGTCCTGTGGCTATGAAATCCTTCCACATCCTCCTTACTCTCCTGACCTTGCACCATCTGACTTCCACCTCTTTCCAACCATGAAGTCATTTTTGAAGGGAAAACATTTCACAGATGATGAAACACTGATTTCTGAAGTCAAGTCCTGGTTTGAGACACAAAATGAGGGCTTTTACAAGCGAGGTCTCCATAGTTGCATAAAACGATGGGAGAAGTGTGTAACTCTTGGTGGTTCCTATGTGGAGAAAGACTAATACCTATGCCAAGTTTCATTCCACTAGTTCCATCGGAAGTGGGTCAGGGGAAATCTTTAATGAACACCTGTATGACAGCTAATTAGGGGTGTCTTATGCTTGGTATGGAAATGCTTGAATGCTTGCTCTGAAAGTGTGAACATGAATGAATCAATTTGATCCATTGTTGGTGGTCGTTTTGAAGAATTATTTCCTCTATATTTTGTTAACTTTAAGTGGGCTTATATGTCTTTTTATACAGGCTGTAATTTCATGATCATACTCATGTGACCTTGGATATTTAGCCAGGGAAACTGCATTGTGGGGGGTGGGTGGGGGCTTCATTAATTAGGTTTGGGTGAAAACAAAGACTTATCATTTTTCTTCCGTTCCAGGCATACAAGAATTTTGGTACACGCATTACCAACATGAGTAAGCGGGTTAGTGACCTGAAGAAAAGCCTGCCATACACGATCAGCCCTGTTCCTTCACCTGCTCTTGATGCCCCCTCCCCCGGCCAGACTCCCAGAGAGGACGACAACACGGAGGCAGTGGACATGGATCTGTCCGAGGATGATGCAGGTGGGTAGACTGGAACCTCTGGAAGCACAGATTCACATATTGACATGGATGTACTCAGATATAGGATTTCACCATTGATTGAGAAGATAGAAAAGTTGGTCTGTGAATCTTTTCAAAGGGTGTATAGTGGCACGTTTCAAGGAATTCAGTTTATTCTTTGTGTTAGAAAATCTACAGATTTGCAAGGCTTTTTAGCACAACTTTTAACATAGAGGGACATTTTTGTAAGTACTATAAGACATTCCTGATTACAAAATAAGTTAAGTCATTTTGGAAATATTTTGAGATAACTTAATTATCTTCTGCCTTTTTTCAAAATTCTCTGCTGTTCTATTGATGGTTCTTATAGGCTAGAAAATATGAAATAAAGCCTTTGATTTAAACTGTATATGAGATATGATTAAGCGGCAGGAAAGTTTGGTGAAGGACCTCCTTTGTCCACTAGGACATTGTGTGACAGCAGTTGTGTCTTTCAGCTTCGGCAGTGGGGATACATGCTCACACTACAACTACAAAGTCCATCTTAAAACCTATTGCAAGTGTAACAGAGATTACAGTGAAAGGTAGACTTTGTGCCTACACTTATTCCTAATCATGCTTGTGTGAGAACACTTTCCATTCTTAAGTGGCACTCAAGTCAAGAAGTCCTCATCCATTTCAACGCTTTACCATCTTTGCTTAACCAATCATTGCCCACTTGAGCTTATGCTATCACAAATCTGTTGATTGTTCAAACTTTTTATGTCAATAATTCTCTTTAATACCAGGTCTCATTAGGATGATGCGATACCTCTGAAGTTAGTTCTTTTTATGTCAACAATTCAGTCTCCTTAAAACCAGATCTCATTACTGTGATGCGGTACCTCTGAAGTTCTGACATTCCCCCAATTTTTGCATCAGGTGAACTCTACAATCAGCTAATCAATGTTAAGATTTCTAATTCTTAGTATGAGTGTGCAAGAATTCATTGCAGTGTATCTGCTTTCTGTGTCCTGAAAACAAACAAGCACAGGAATATGTATGGAAGATAATAAAGGCTGTGCTATATATGTTGTGGATATTTGAAACAGCCTGTTGTTTCTGAGAGAATTGCATCTGCACCCACAAGGAAGCAGTTGTTGTCAGTGTTTTCTTTTATTAAGATCAAAATTTCTGAAGTTGACATCTGATATGTTTAAGAACCCATGCATCCTTCATTTTGGTGGCCAAACATAGCTCAGAGTTATCCTGAAGTGACCTCAATGGATGGTCTGTCAGTTCATATCGGAGTAAGAGATCTTATTTTAATGAGATTGGGCAATAATTGGAACACTCTGATCTTTAAATGCAACATAAATTTTAACAGCTGTCTGAATCTATGTATGGTAAACAGCAAGATGTGTACTTTCTTTGCTCACTGTCAAAGTTCCCTCTCAGCAATAATGATATTACCTGGAACAGATGTTGACCTCAGCATTAGCAGTGATATTTTCAGCCTATCTAAAACCAGTTGAGCACAACAGTCTTGGTCTGTAGTAGCTGCTTAATAGTGTCCCCTTTTTCCCTACATTTTGTTCAATGTTTTACTCATGTTTTTTTTATTTTGTAACATTATTGTGATATTATGTTAAGTAAGCATACCCCATAATACAAGTTGCCATGAATAGCTGCAATATTGTTGGTGCGGTTCACTCACAAACTCACCGAGAGATTTCAACAGATGTGTGGCAATAATCTGCAGCTGACTTTTGGATCTTCATCTTGCCTCAGTTATTCATGATCAGTTTTAATAAAATTTGGAATTTGCCTGTTGGTTATTTGTGTAGATAATGCTCTAATTACATTAAGTAATACGTTACCACTGTTATACCGAGGCTGTTGTCCCCCACAACTGCTCTTATAGCGAAATCTTCCACAGAGATCTCAATTACGTGCGTAGCCACCTAGCTGCCATGTGACACCCTTCACTATAGTCTCTTCGCTTGCCTTCGCAAGACGTATCAATACACTGCTCTTTCCTTTGTACCAGCCTCCTGCTATCCTTGGTGATATTTATTACTGTTTCTTAGTCCTAAGTGAACTGTAATATACTGGGCGTTCGTTATACGGCGCTTAGAAAATTTTCTCGCCTAAATTTGTGCGCCTTTTTCGCTACCCTTTTTCGCTACTCATTCCCCCGAGCCGATACTCCCGTTATGGACTAAGGACCGTGTGGCCATGGTGTATGACCTCTTTGAGGACATGCCACGGCCCCAGCCGGTACCCCGGGGAATCCACGGCTCGGTGGGTTCCTCCGAGGTTTTCGACGAGTCCGCTGACAAGACTCCCGTTACCTCCTCCGTCGTGGAGAAAGGGTTCGTTCCCGGTGCATGACTTGGCCTTCCCGGAATCAAGTCCCACCGCGGAGGCCCATGTGGAGAGGTTGGGTGTCCGTGCCCCACCTGCTGCTACAGTCACTCAAGCGACTTTACAGCAGATGGACACCCTCTCTCGGCACTCCATGCTCGCTATGTCACATGGCGACACCTACTTGGCGGCGGCGCCCAGTCTGGTCGAAGGTTCCCCCACGGACCGAGACCAGCGCATTTACAACTGTTTGATCGGTTTGAATGCAACCCTTGAGTACGTTGCCGGGGCTTCGGCCTTTCTTTCCGGCACGTGCCATTTTTTGAGGCGGCAAGCGTACCTTGCCTCTTCTGGGTTGGACGCTGCCAACCAGGGGGTGTTACTTTCGCAGCCTTGGTCTGTGCAGACCCTATTTAATAATCGGATCCCTGGTGTTCTAAAAGAACAGCAGTCTGCTTCGTCTGCCGCGGCTTCGCAGCATAAGTTGGATCTGGTTGGGTCTCTGCACAGACGCCTGGGTGGTGCCCCTAAGCGGAGCGCCCCTCAGGATGCTGCGGCCGGGAAGTCCAAGGGTTCGGTGTCTTCTTCCTCCGGGAAGAGGTCCCGCTCTGAGGGCCCCGGTAAGGGCAACCTGCCGCCCTTTCGGGGGAAGAAGGGACACTGGGGGAAGCCTAAGCCGTCTTGCTCCTCCAAATGACTCTCTCTTGCAGGGTTCGTGTGCCAACAGCGCCAGCTTCGGTTGGCCCGTAGGCGAACCCCAGTCATTCAGCCCTGGACAGTTGCGTCTGCCGCAGCCTGTCAGGCCTCCCTTCCCTTCCCCTTACTGGTAGAATTGGGAACAAGTGTTCGACGACCCATGGGTGGTCAACACGATTCGGTACGGCTATCGGCTAGATCTCAAAGCGGATCCGCCGCTCACCGTCGCCCCGTTGGAAGGTTTCTATTCGGAAGCCGATCTTCCCATCCTCGCCGATGCCATCAGCAGTTTGGTGGAGAAGAGGGCGGTACGGGAGTTAGTCCTACCAGAAATAACACCGGGGTTTTACTCCAGGATATTTCTGGTTCCCAAGAAAGACAGTGCCGAACTCAGAATGATTCACAATCTGAAATCGTTCAACGAGTTTTACCTGCACAAGCCGTCCAAGTTCAGAATGTTGACCTTGGCGGACCTGAAAGCTCTGATCATGCCGGCCGACTGGCTCGCTTCGATCGACCTGAAAGATGCTTATCTGCATGTTCCGATTCACTCGGATCATCACAAGTATCTCAGGTTTGTCTTTCAAGGCAGGCACTACGAGTGGGTTGTACTCCCATTCGGTCTTTCGTCCGCTCCCTGGCTGTTCACCCGGTTAACCACCCCCATGATGGGGTTCCTCCACAAGAGGGGTATCAGGTACTTCGCGTACCTGGACAACTCACTAGTGGCCAATCGAATGACGGACGCCCTGTCACGCCATCTCGATTTCGCACGTCGGCTCTTGGAGCAATTGGGGTGGATTATCAATCTCCCCAAGAGCGAGTTAACCCCCTCACAGTACTTGCAGTTCATCGGAGGTCGGTTCGACACGGTGACCCATCGCCTCTTTGTCCCCCAAGACCGGTTGCACAAGATTCAGGCGATGATTGCAAAAGTCTTAGTGGTGCAACAGACTGTTCACTTTTGGGAACAGCTGTTAGGGCTACTTGTGTCAGCCCAGGACTGCACCGATCGGGGTCGTCTCCAACTCCGCCCGCTGCAACGGTTTCTAATCTAATCCAGTTGTTAGCACAGGAGGTGAACAGTGCGACCGTCGCCCTCCCGGATCGGCTCCGACCGCATCTGGAGTGGTGGATGGTCCCTTGCAACGTCTTATCAGGTGTCCCTATGCGGCCCTTCTGCGCCACGTTGAACCTGTATACAGACGCCTCTCTAGTGGGCTGGGGTGCCCATCTAGAGAGGGGGGGGGAGCTCTGGGCTGTGGTGCGTAGACGAACAAGGTCTTCACATCAATTGCCTCGAGTTCAAGGCAGTGATAAACGCAGTCAATCAGTGGAAGCATCGTCTCGTCGACGCCCGGCTCATGCTGGCGACCGACAACACGACGGTAGTGTCCTATGTGAACAAACTGGGGGGAACCCACAGTCACTCGCTACTCGATCTCGCATTCGAGTTTTACGCTCTGGTGGACAGTGTCCCGTGCCAGGTACGCGCCCGTCACATCCCAGGTGTGCGGAACGTCCTGGCCGACGCTCTATCGAGGCCTCGGGATCCGAGCCCCACGGAGTGGATGCTAAACCCAGTGGTGTTTCAGTGGCTGTGCGAACGTTTGGGCCGTCCGATGGTCGACCTGTTCGCAACCAGGTTCAACAATCAACTCCCGTTGTTTGTATCACCAGTCCCGGACCAGAGGGCCATCGATCACGATGCTCTCGCGTTAGACTGGACGGGCATGGACGCTTTTGCTTACCCGCCAACGGCCAAGGGCGTGACCGTCTGTTCATATCGTGTAACCCTAATCGCACGGTTGACATAACTCGCAACTCGATTGCGTTATGGCTTCGTTCTGTCATCAATCTGGCTTACCGGTCTCGGGGGTTACCGGTAGCGGGGTCAAACCCGCACGAGATTAGGGCGCTAGCGGCAACATTTGCCCTACACTCCAATATATCTGTTCACAGAATATTGCGGGGTTGTTACTGGCGTTCTGACTCGGTTTTTGCCAGTCATTACCTCAGACGGGTCTCTGATGAAGATGTGGAGGGTGTGCACCGTCTTGGGCCGCTGATCGCGGCACAAGCGGACATCTAAGGGGTGTGCCTGGCGCAATTCCGAACTCCTCAGGCTTCAGACCTTGCACGGTATGCGCTTGACAGTGCTTTGGTATCCCTATATGGTAACGCCAAGCTGGGAGCATGCGCATTGAGTGCTTCCGCCTTGTTGTTTACTTCCGCTGGCCGGAAGGAACACGAGCAGTCAGGTTTCAGGTTGTAGGTGCTCCCCACCGCCTACTGTGGTAGTCAGCCTCGGTATAACAGTGGTAACGTATTACTTAATGTAATTTGTAGAATTTTCCTATTCGGAATATTCTATAAGTAATACGTTACCACTGGGCTGCTGCCCGCCCGTCCGTCCCCCGACGCAAGAGACTAGAGTGAAGGGTGTCACATGGCAGCTAGGTGGCTACGCACGTGCTGCATGAGGTAATTGAGATCTCTGTGGAAGATTTCGCTATAAGAGCAGTTGTGGGGGACAACAGCCTCGGTATAACAGTGGTAACGTATTACTTATAGAATATTCCGAATAGGAAAATTCTACAAGATATTCAGCTGTGTTATGTAACCAGTCCAGTAAAGTTTGAATAAATACTGAAAATTAGCACAGCATCTATCAATTGGTACTGCATCTAACAAGCTGAAGCCGTTTCTTTTCACCCAGGAACTTTACTTCACAGTCATTCACTTCTGTTTACAAATTACACAGGCTTCCAACCACTTTCAAAGTATTTGTATCATGTATTTATGACCCATATCAAGGTGTCATGCAGCTTACAAACCATCTAAACAAAAGAGTAGATGTGAAAAGTAATTGAAAATCAGCAAAATCAATAATGATAATCACGATGTCTTAGGATTGAAGAGACCACAGTTTGTTGTGTTAAGTGTTTGAAAGTGTAGAGTGGTTACTGTACTGAGTGTTACAAGCATGATCTACATGACCAGTGAGCCACATGTTGATAGCGCCCTGTCTGTTTCAGGTGGGGATTCCCCCCCAGGCACACCAGAACACCAACCCGTCATGGCTGTGTATCAGCGTAAGTTGCTTCCTTTACTTCCGCTGAAGATGTTCTCAGTGGTGTGGCCAGGTTATTCACTCCCACGGTACAATATCAACATTCAGTGAGGGAAACATTATGCTAATTCAGAAAAGATTTGTATGTTTTACTATTTATTTAGCCTTGAAAAAAAAGAAATCAGTAAACAGTCCATACTCCTTTTGAATTAGATCACCATTCAAGCGAAAGAGTGTTGCTTTGTTCATGTGTGACAGATGATCAGGACATGTTGAAGTCAGCAATTAATAATAAAGGTATCTGGTGTAATTAACATGACTTCCATTCACCTGATGTCTGTATCTAAAGATTTTGAATGATTAACACTGCATAGTTCAGTTCTGCCTAGAGGGGAAGCAACTGCCAAATGGGACATTGTCTAATACATGTGATGTCCAAGAATTGTGTTTATGACCACTCAAGCTTGTGATGTTGCTTGCACAAATCACAGCCTCTTACAGGAAAAATAACCATGTTAGAATATTTCATGAAATTAAAATATTTGACTGTGAGATTTTAACAGATGGAATTTCTATTGCATGCCAATGATACCTCTGAGACAATATTGTCTCACTTGTCAAGTTGTGGACAAAAGTACAGGAACTCCCCATTAAAAGCCTGAATGCAAAGCTGCAGTAGAGCCCGCTCTTCATTTATTATATTCCAGCTGTACAAAATCTTCTTTGAAGTTACTTTTAACTATTATTGGGAGTTGGGAGATGTATGTTTGGTTTGCTCAGTTGATTCGTATCAGTTATTAAAAGAATGCTTTTTTATGATTTCAGCTCCCAGTAAGAAGGCAATGGGTGATGGCCTTGACAAAAGACTAGCCAACCTAATTCCCAGTCTGCCAATGTCCCACAACTCGAAGAAGAATCTGCCTGAATCACAAGACGTGTTCTCCCATGCAGCTTTTGCTGGGACCAATAAGACCCTAACACCCCATAACATTCAGTCATTCAGTGCCAAGAATGTGTTTAGTGGAGGCAGTGAGGGGGGCTCCACCCCTCTGAGTGATGAACGCTGCTCCACACCGGTGCAAGATGAGGTGCCCGAGGTGGAGCCTGAAGATGAGCAGGACAGCCTGCTGGAGCAAGTGAAGGAGGCCGCCAACCCTATAGACATTCTCACTAAACTCATCAGTAAAACACAGAAGAGTGCTCCTTCTGCATCAGAGTCAAATTTCCTGCAAAGTTTGTCACTGCTTACTAGCACTGTCAAGTCACATGTTGAGAAAGCAAAGTTAGCGAAAATGAAAAAGTCTGAAGACAGTTCTGATGATGAAGATGGAAGTCAAGATGAGTCTGGTTTGCAGCCAAAATCTTGGGCGGCATGGAAAGCAAAATCAAATCCCCCTGAAGAAACTAGTCGCACCCCTCCCCGGCCTATCCCTTCCATTCAGTCCTCAAGACCAGAACAGCAGATGCCAGGTCTTGTGTCTGAATCCGAGGAGTCCATACCAGATCAAGGAGATTTGCAGGAAAGTATCCCCGATCCTGTTCCACAACAACAATCATCAATGCAAGTTCCACAAGGTCCACCGATTCAGGTGGCTCAGGCTCCTCTAGGGCAAGGGATGCATCCAGGCCCTGTGAGTGCTCCTGGTCAAGTTCTACCCAGCGGCCTACCTCCAGGACCAGTAATGCCCCCTGGCCATCCTCCAGGGGCAGTCCGGCTTGGTCATCCTGGTCCAGGACAGCCACCAACTGCAGCGCTACCATCAGGACACCTACAGGGACCTCCCCCAGGACATCATCAGGGTCCACCTCAAGGACATCATCAAGGACATCCCCATGCTCCACCACCCGGACTTCCCCATGGCCCTCCCCATGGCCATCCACCAGGACATCCTCAAGGTCTTCCACCAGATCAGAGACCTCCTCTAACATTACCTCCTGGTATACCCATGAGTCAGCCTCCAAGACCAATGCCTGGACATCCCATGCATCCTGGTATGGGAGGGCAACCTTTAGCCCCTCCAATTGCTCCCCCGCATCAATCAAATCCCCCTGTGAGTTACATGCCTCCTCGTTTACACATCCCTCCTCCACATTTTTCATCACCACCTCCCACTTCAGCGTCATACAATCCTCTTATGACACCTCCCCCAGGATACATGCTTCAGACATCTCCTGGTCAGAAAGAAAACTGGCCTTCTTCTGACTCTACTCAAAGCTCTCCTAGTGCTCTTGTGCCACTTGTAGGACCAGACGTTCACCCTATCAACCAAAGATCATCACCAGCAGCTGAGATGCCAAATCCACCCTTCAATTCGCCTCTCCCGAAACCACCTAAAGGTATATTGAGAAATTCACAGGCCCCAGTATTAAAAGAGGTGTCCCAAGCATCGGGTCAACTAGCAGACCTCACTTCACCTACTCCTGGCTCGGGTCCTAAGCCCCCATCAATACCCCCATCCCCATCAGACTCAAGACCACCTCCTCTGCATGGGCAGTCACAGCTAGTGCTACAACCAGGAGAAGATCTTATAGAATTCACAGAGAAGCTAAAACGAAAAACAGCTGAGTCTCAGCCAGAAGGGCGCCCCATTCAGCCTGTGTTTAGTCTTAACCCGAGACGGCCAAATCTAACAACAATTACTCCCTTCGAAGAAATGGACACTGACAATGGTACCGAGACAGAGAACAAGGAGGAAAATGACACTGAAAACTCAGAAGAAAACAAGTCAATTCAGTCAATACAATCTATTTCAACACTTGGCAGTGTAGTTCGGCGTGTTGATCATTCAGATCGGGACAATGGAAGCCACGCAGAATTGAGGCGGAAGCCTGTGGAACCTTTGCAACATGGAGGACATTCATCACATTACGAGTCTGAATATAGAGATCCTTACTATGACCGACACAGGAGTCAGCAACACCACTACCCCCCTCAAGACCCCTACAGAGACCCCTACTCCCGGTATCCCCCATACTATCATAATGATCCTTACGGTCCCTCACCACCTAAAAGACCGTACCCAGATCCTTATGATCGAAGGAGGCCCTATTACCGGTACTAATGAGTGGTGATTTCACTGAGAAGAGGAATGTGTGGTTTGTGAACGGCATCTGTAAAGATGCTGTACAATGGGCTGAATGTTTTGTAACCTAGTTACGTCCAGGGTACTCTGAATGTTTCCAAACTGGCATGTGTCGTGCAGGACAGCGAAGAAAGGACAGCTGCTGTAAGGGACATTCTGGGAAATACTATTCATGGCAGCATTTGAACTGGAATATGAGAATGTGATTGTGCTGTCATCTTTCTGCTTGATAGAAACCTTTTATTCCTGAATTCAAATGAAATTTGTATGCAATTCTTAATTCTCAATTTTCCTTGACATCCACAGAGGAGTCAGGTCTTATCAAGTGACAATCTTAGGGCATGTTGCCTCCAGATAATTACAGGTCAGTGTACAAAAAGCCTATTTCACTATCATGTTATGAAACATTTGTGACCATTTATGTGTTTCTGATGTTTAGTTAAGTTAAACTGTATATCTGTAAGAAAATGAAGCGTCTTATTGTATTGAGAAAGTTGATTTGTTTTTTGCCTGTGAGAATTCTTAAAGACCTTTGCTTGAGTTGTCTGTTGAGTTTGCATCCAAGTTTCCGTATAAAGTTGTCAAAATGAGTATGTAGATAATTGTGGGTTCAAGACATGCATGATTGGAAATAGAGTTAATTCTGTGACTGTATGGGTTGTATCTTGATCACTGTGAAAAACCTCTCGAAAAGGGCACTTATTTGGTATTTATTATGTTGACTTTGCAGAAGAATATTTTTTGGAAACAAGCATACTTTTCAAACACACCTACTTTGTACCTGCATCATTCCGTGGACAGTCCCAGTAGCGTCATCGGAAGCTTCTTGTTAACGCTTTTCCTGTCAATGCTTTTGGGGATAGTACTCACATTCTAGGGACTAATGTTGACTTGGTTACCTTGGTTTCCTGAAGCTTATATGTATCATGGCTTTGAAAGTGTTGAGAAATGTTTCCAAAGTGGACTTCGTAGAAATGAGTGAGAGGTTTCCAATAACCTAATACTCTGCATTATGTGACATGATATCATACATTGGTATTTCTGTTATTTATCTTGATTGTACTGTCTCTTTGAGAAAGGACATTTTAATATTCCATGTTTCACTTGTTTTTGTTTGTGATTTTCACAACACATTATTTTCAGTCATGTCTTGGGTGACTGTTCCAGCAGGCAGGGGTGTCAGGCACACATTGTTTAGCCCTACATCAATGAATTGTGGTATAGTGATTGATTGTTGGTAGCAATTTCTCTGTGAAGTTAAATGCATTGAATGGAAACATCTGCAGTAATGACCCATGCGAATGTGCTAATGAATTGTTAATTGAAATAATTGTCTGTGGTCTAATAGTTTTGTTTTGCTACTGATAACAGTACACACACACTTCAAAGGAAATAACGTTTGATTTATAATGAAACCGGCATAACATGCATTGCAGCATAACAAGAAATTATGATGTACATTATTAGTCTTTCAAACATATAGGGTCTACGTCTTCATAGAGTAATGATATACGGACACAAAATATAAAGCATTCATTTCATAGTATCTCTTTATATTCCTGTTTAGAGTCAACATTTTTTTATTTAAGAAGGAACCCTTTCACTGGAGGTCATTGAATGTGCTGGGTTCATGGTTATGTTAATGGTAAGAAATGTTTTTGTTACTTTGAACACACATTGTTACTGCCCAGCACACTTCCATGCCTATCTGTATGGAGGGATTCTGTGTTGCCAACAATCTTGACACCCCTGATTAATTGCTTCAGTTTGCACAGACCAACAGTTCCAGTGTTAATTCAGTTGTATGCATGGCAGAATGTGAAGAGTGAGATGTATTGGGAAGTTGTACAGCTTCTTGTATATTTCCAGGCAAAAATAAATAAGTCTGAATTTTTTAATTAATTTTCTTTTGCGATGATTGTCTGCTGATATTGTGGATCTTCACAGACTGATTATCATATGTCTGTTAATAATTGCATTTCAACATCTTAAATGTCAGGTTATGATTCCTTGACATTGCTTGGATGTCCCAGGGGAAAATGTCGTGGTGCTCACATAATCCAGATGCAGGTACAAAGATGAACTGTAAGCTTTGTCCCTTTACCCAGCCAATGTAATGGTAGTTGTCCTGGTATTGGATTATTGTTTTTGTCCCCCCGGTATTTAATACGGGGGGATATGGTAGCTTGTCTGACCATCTCTTTGTCAGTCTGTAATGCTCGTTATGTCTGGATTATATCTCTAAAACTAATAGGTATTCTATCATGAAACTTTGCACAGGTTGCAAAGACCAGGTTGTCAACTGGTGGTGCCTTTTGCTATGTGGGGATTTATAGAATTTATATTTTTAACGTTTCTATGTCAACAAGTTATGAATGTAACAGAAGGGAAATGTTTAGTGTAAACATATATATCTTAATTTCTATTAAGCTGCAACATATAAGATTTCATAAGTTTAATGTGAAAGGTGAGCGTCAGTACCTATTGATAACTACAGTTGGTAATGCAACAGATAACAGCATAACCATTGAACAATAGTGGGACATCCACTAACTCATATCTTTACTTTAAAAAAAGTCCTGACATACAAATACAAAGTACCGAATCCCAGATCCATGGTCTTGTATGGACAGGCAGATTGTATAGGAATACTCTCATTAGTTGGACAGATCACTCTTGCTGTAACAATCAGATGATTTGGTTGTTGTTTTTTCAAATTTGTGGGTTCCGGGGTAATTTGTGATCTTCAGATGACTCATATAATTTCAGCAACAGGCTCATCAAAGACGGCTTACTTTAAATTTTATGAAAATGACAGTGTGACCCATTATTCAGGCATCTATGCATATGCTAATGAGTGATTGGATATGAAGTATGTGCAACAGCTCTCCAGTCATTGAATGTCGCTGAAACTCAAGGGTCAGTGGAGCCAACCTTTTGCAGTGAGCATGTTTCTCTCTGGGACAAGCAGTTGAAGCTGGTGATTAATACACTCTTATCGTGTCAATGTGGTTACCTTGTGCTTCACAGGCATGTTTACGTATTCAACTGCCAAACAAAAGTTCCAACAAAAGTTCCAACAAAATGCTAGTTTAATGAAAGAGTTATTGTTTAGGAACAAAATGTTACTGTTTCAAGGTCAGTGTACACAAACATTTATCACATCGGTAATTTTGGTAGAGACAAAAATTATCATTTCCGTGATTTTATTGACTTTCTACATCTACTTCATGACCAAATTTGAAAACAATCTTCAGGACTCAGTTAATCAATGTCCCAGAAAATGAAGTGATCTGATACCCCTGCACATGGAGTATGTTCAAAACTAGAAAGGTTGTTACCCGCATAAAACAGCATCTGACCAATCACCACTGAATGACTTGATACATAATATGTCAACACATGCTTCAAGTGTGTCATGAATCGTTCAGAAAATCAGTGAACACTACAATTCCTTCGAAAATCCTACCTCTATAACATCATGACCATAAATTCCTCTTTTTCCTGTCATTCAGACTATAAATATTTTGAATTTTCAACACATCCTCTTCACTGCCAACTTATGTAATGTGAATGCACATGCGCAAGCTGGGAAAACATGACTTCTTTTCTTTGTAAACAAGTAAAAATTTATTGATATCATCTGATGGACAGCTGAGGGCAGCTTATAGAAGATCGGGGGTATAGAAGATAGGACTTTCTAGTAAGTAGGTAATCAGAGCAAAACTGGTATTTGCTCTTGGTGTGGCAAAGATCAAGTTGCTGGCGATCCATACCCTAGATGCGCAAGAAGAGCACATGCGCTCCTAATTTCAAAGGAAAAGTTCAGAAAGGTTTCCAAGAAAGGTTGTCAGCCAAAAAATCTAAATTATCTACTACTACTTGTACTGCTAATAAAGATAGAATGAAGGGGAAAGTGACTGAACCTGGTGTGGAACCCACCAGATAGACATGCTTGGGTCCCCCCTATTGATAAGAGATCGCGTTGCCCATCCCACCCTCCCATATTGATGGATCATCTAGGCTTCAGAGAAGCAATGGAGTACCATCTGATGCTACGATCCCCCTTTAACCTAGATGAGTTAAACAAATAAGATTACTTCATCTGTAACAGCAATAATTGAAAAAGGTTTAATTTCTCAGGAGTTATTGCATTTAAAAAATAGTCTCTCAAAATGAGGATATGAGTTAATGTACCTGAATATCTGTGGATAAATCGTATGACGGGCCATCATTTTGGATTATGAGAATAGAAGGGTCATCAGCAGGCGCGTGAATCTCGGAGATCCACGTCTTGCCACACTTATCATATGGAAGGTCATGTGTTACGGGCAACCTATCGCAGCCAGCATGGGAATATATACCATTCTTCACCTAGATATCATGATGCCAGAGGTGTAGAGAGATTCTATCAAGACTGGTTTGTGGTGATAGCTCAGATGATGTTACATAGCCAACTCAAAGCGACAGATCTGTCAAGCCTGTGCTACTCCACGTAATCACAGTTCACCCCACTTCCTAAGGAATGGAATCTATTCCAGAGGATGCATACAAGCCAAATGACTACATCGCCAAGGAAATTATGGAGTATACCATACCATCCTTTTCTGCCTTTATGTCCTACACAAACAAGGCGACGTCTATGAGGTAGAGCGTCCTCCCGGAGAGCCGAAGGTCCGGGTTCGATCCCCGGCCGCGTCATTCCAAAAGACCTTAAAAGATGGTACTTGTAACTTTGCCTCGGCATTAAGGGGCTAAAACAAGGATTGGTCGGCTTGGAGTCAGTATACTGTTTCTAAATGGGGTATTCATGTTAAACTGCGGCATGGTATTTCTGTGGGCTAGAACTATAAATCAGGATCAATCCAGGCTAGTACAAGCAGCCACACACACACATGCGTGCATGCACGTCTCTATATAAGTGCAATAATCTTGGATGCGGCGTTAAACCCCATTTCACCTCACCTCACAAACAAGGCAGTAACAAAAGCAGAGGAATTCCACATTCCAGATTACACCCAATCGAACATTTATGGGATGCACTGGATGAACAACTGCGAGCACGTCGGCAACAACAACAGAACCTCGGATAGTTGGCACAAGCACAAGTTGGTGAACATTCGCCAGGACACCATTCCATCCGTTTTGAATCTAGTGGTCATACAAGATATTAAAAACAGATGATCTTCACTTTGAAAATATACTGTTCCATGTGTGCCATATGGAACCTGGATCAATGACAATGATGTTTGCCAATTGTGAACAATCGTTACTATCTGTTGATTGTTTATATGTTATACAAAATATACACTTTTCCGTTTCATTTCTTGGAGAGTATAGATCCTCTATGCACAACATAAGACCGCCTGCCGTCTATCTACAAGAGTGACTACAAAACTCATGGTGCTCCTTTCCCACTACATCCTACTACCATACTGCGATACTGTCAAGCAGACCAATGCCAGGATGCTGGTACATATGACTAACATGTTGAACATCAGCTTTTACATCAACTGGTTTGATGCAGGCAGTTGTCACGTCATCCCTCTGACGAAACAAAGCACAAGTCTATCCTTAGACACCCAAGCCAACATGACCCTGAAACCAGGTTGGATTCAAACATAGATTCATATCCTGAAGAATCAGGACAACCTCCAGTCAGCGCAGATATGGATGTTGGCACAGCTTTTGCTCATGCAATGAAACCATTTTATACAGCAGGTACGTCATATTTTCCCGGAGACGCTGAAGAGAAGTATGTTGTCACAGCCTATTGCAGCCAAACAGGTCTTTAAGAGCAGACTTAAAGCCATCAAGGAGGACATCACCAGGGCAACCAACCAGTAGTCTACCATGAGCATGGCGTCAAATTCAGAAGCAACCGGCAGACTACCAGAGTCAGTGAGATCCTCCCAAGAGAATATTAACTGTCAAAGCAAGAGAATAACCAGTCTAGATTTTCCACCCACAAAAATTCCATTTAGCGTAAAAGGCAATTTAGCTGTGAAAATTATATGAATGGAACACTGAAAATCAGTGATGACACCAGGTGTTTGCGAAAATAGTAAGCATGTCTTGACCTACCGGTAGATCTTGCATTCACACAATTTGCATAAAAAAGTAAGTACTTATTGCCTGACGCAGCACAGTAGTACTGCCATGCGTCTGCGGCCTATCAACAAACCGGAAAAGTTATCAATGAACCAGAAAATCAAGTGACATGTTAATTTTGAATTACGTCTGCTGTGCACAAGTTAAGAGATTCTGGTCCTTATGAGCACAGAAAAACACTCATAAAAAGACACATATTCATTGTCCTGTCCCAAACATTTTTTTTGTAGGTGACTCAGCACAGATGAATGCTACCGACGCGTGATGCGGGGCGTGATTCTTTTCGTGCCCCAGCCTGGAAGGATAGTTCTTCACGTCCAAAGGCCAGAGTCTCCAAGAACGAGCAGCCATTTACACACAGCATTGCAGAGACTCATCAAAAGTTCAGCACATCTATCCAAATCCTGACTCACGGACATCGATACAAGACTACCAATATTCAAAAGAACGCCAATCCCGGGTCATGTCGGAGGTCATCTGATGCAGTGTGCTGAAAAATGGGTGGCAATCACAGACAATGCCTGGCAGCTCGAAGTAGAAAGAAAAGGGTACATGCTCCATTTCTTTTTTATGACCAAGTCTTTTGATTCATCCAAGCTTCTAGACAAGGGAATCATAAGCGCATTAGAAAAATCAGATACCACCTCCGGATTATAATCACCAGTCTTCCTGGTTCCAAGAAGAAATACATTGGAAATGAGCATGATAATCGATTTGGATCGACAAGGATTATCTGGTTTGGGCTCAGAGATTCGAAACGGAGTCGGTCAAGAAATTAAGAACGCCC